CAGTTAATAACGGAGGGAAATACTAAACGTCCGTGCTGAGTACCTAATAAATCCTGTCTGAGCTTTTTTATTGAGGCGAATTTAATAAAAGCAGTGGGCTAGGCACGGGGATTTGTCTCAGTGAGAGCAGACCAAAAATAGGGATGAGTGGGGAAGGGTAAATCCAGATACTAAACACTCATTCACGTGCGATAACCGTGGCAATTTATCCATCCATTTTATGACCCCACACTCTCCTTTCAGAGAATTTTATTTTAAAAAATATCATTTAAAAAAAAACCTACAGACATTTTGATAGTGTCGCTATGGGGTCGCGAGGAAGTTCATGTTAAGTTTAAAGGCTGTGGCCTGATTCTCACAAATGTATAGAGCCAAAAACAACATGATGCGTAGTCAAATTCCTCGGGGGCCCAAGGAAAAGCAATTACTTCATTTACAACAAATAACTAATGACATGACTGCGAATAGTAACTAAGTGGTGAAAAGTATCTTCCCTCAGGGGGAAACTTGTCAACCAAAGCATAATTTGTCCTTCACAAACATCAAAACATTTCATTAACTCAGATATCCGTGTGTTTAAAGGGAAAACCACACAGAAATGTCTATTTCATTCATATCAGGGCGAAGAGGACTTCCCCACTACCTCTTCATTCACCCTCAGGTAAAAAGAAATAGACAGCACAGATAGGTCGAGTGAAGGTAAAACATCAGCTCTAGCCATGATGTCGATCTGTTAAGGCAGGGGTTCACTGAGCCAAAGGTCTCTCTGAGGGCTAATTATGTGCCTTTGAGGAATAATTTACAGTAGCTTTCCATGCAAAACCGCTGAACAAAAATAGCATTAAGTGGAGGGTTGGAATATTTTGCAGCATTCAGGTTCATTACAAGTGCTCATGTCAATGTCAACGACTTTTTGAGCGCTTAATGTCTCTTTATCACTTTGCAATAACAACTTCTGCGCACAATATCATGATCTAATCTGTATCAGAGATTTTAGAAGGCAGCTCGTACTCTGATATGAGCTTGTACTGTATGTTTCTTAAACACTATTAACTAATAATGAGTACAATCTTTAAAAAAATATATTTAGGGGGTGGAGTAGGCTGAAGAAGACGATAAACTCTGCAAACATCAGCACTGATAAAGACGACACCCCTGTGAGGACGATTGCATCAACAGTTAAAAGGAGCTATTACACAGGACTTATCCTAAATGTGGATCCTTAATTATAAGGATTTTAGTGCTCCATTTGGCCAGCAGCCACAATGCATTATTCCATCATGAACAGCACCATCACCAATCACATTATAGTTTACCCGAATTGAAACACAGTTTTACTACACACAGACATGTAACAGTGGTACTCACTCTTTTCACTGTTTGGTCCGAGGTCAGCAGAGGAACAAAAGAGCCGAGTTATGTTTCGACTCTGGATTTAAGGTGGTGCAGCCATTTGAGTCCAAGTGCAGGAGGTTGACCTGCATGAGAAATAAAAAAAGTCTGGTTTAGAGAGAAGCCTTACGGAGGTGAGATGACCTGATTTTAAATAAACAGAGCAATTTTAAACTCATGTTGCATGAGATACTGTAAATAAAGAAATATAGGTCACATCTGTACATAAGAGGCAGAGGGTTTTAGGGGTCCTCCAGGGGGGTAAAGGTTTAAACTATCTTCCTGCAACTCTAGTTAAGTTCAGAAAAAAACAGCAAATCAGCCTGTTCTGTGTTGTATTCTGATTATTGATACCAATAATAAAACAAAACAATTAAATAATAACAAATGAGAAACAAGTCATGTGATACCATTATTCCACTCCCATTAAAATCTAATGTACCTGGCTATATTAGTCAGGAACATGTTTCAGGCTGATTTTTAATAGTTCATGAATCAGAAAAATACACAGACGTATGAAATAAACTTCAGATCATTACTGGTATTTATGTCAGTGATAATAAACTGCTTATTAACACTGATAGACTACCTGTATCATTTGTATATGTATTTGATAAACCTAGAGGACAATTTCAAAATGACATTGAGTCAACCAGATTAACTGATCTGACTAATCATCTGTTTTTTGTGCGTTTTTTGTGTAACGACTGCTTGGATTACAAAACACATGTCAGCAAATCTGAGGTTCTGTTTGGTGTGCAGAGGTGGTAAAGACGGCTCCAATTTATGGCAAAGTATTTCCTAGATCAGCTAAATCAAATCTCAGTAAAATCCACTCCACATTTGATACTAGTGTTTTTATTGGTCATTATGGTATGTAGAACCCAGTGTGCTTTTTTTATGAAAACAGTGCCTGACATACTCTTATACACAGTCTAAATGTTACACTCATGAAAAGGGAAGAAATGATCAGAATGTGTTGTTTCCTCACTCAGTGGGATAAGGAAAAAACATTACGATCTCACAGCTATGCAGGAAGAGACATGAGCACTTGATCTTAGATCAGTCTGACTTAGACGACCAAGAAGATTACAGATAAACATTAAAAAATCATTTTTAACAAGACAGGTGAAAGTAAAATGTTCATATTAAGCTGAACTGAACAGATTTTAACAAAAATTATGTCTATGATTGTAATCATTCTGAATTAAAAGTTCTTGTAAATTCTTTTTTTTTTAAAATACACATTCAATTTTATAAAAAAGTCATATACCATGCCCCTAAAAAGTTCTGTTTAACTTCTCAACTTAATGCAAAAAGCTAACTTATGCAGAGGACACTTGAAATGAGAAAAAAAGTATGAATTTTTTATCCACTTGCCTTTATATTACTTTGTAAAAATCATGGATACATTCAAGTTTTACCTCCTTTACTACACTTGTACTAAAAACACACTTCATATCAGTGAGCTTTTTATTCTTTTAAGTGTTTTTGACTTCTCTAAATTACATGTTTGGACAATAATAAAGCTTTTGAATGTTGCCTGTCTTAAAAAATTGCAGTTCTACAACCTTTTCCATTCTCCTGCTCCAAAGAGCTCTAAACATTTGCTGCACCTCTCTTTGATTCCTTTTCCGCCTTTTTTGTCTGCATGAGAAAAAGCCACTCGGGGTCAAGCCATTAAAGAAGAACTCTTGCCGTGGCTACATTTTCTCACAATTGAAAGCCAGAGCAAGAGATTACCCACACAATTGAATCAGGGGAAGAGGAAAACCAGGTACACAGACATGATAACCTGTGCAGGTCAAGTATCAACATTAGCAACTATCACGATAATCTGCAATTACAATTGCATGCCAAGTGAGAAAGAATGAGAAAGTGGTGTTTAGACTAAAACAATGACCAAGAAACTCAAAAGGTTGAATAATATGTGCTCTTTGACTTTTTTACCTAAATAACTCTCAAGCACAGTGATAACATTGTCTACATCAGTGGTTCTTTAACTCTGAGGTTAGGGAACTGGAGTGTCCTTATGGAAATATCAAAAACTCTAAAAATCACAAACGCACTCAGTTATTACCCGCTAAAAGTCCTCTGTCAGGTTGGGGAGGGTTGAAGTGTATCCCTGCATGCTCATATTAACAGGCTAGGTGCTGTTAACATTTTCCGTTCCTAAAAACACCCTGAAAGGCAAACTCTCACTTATAATTGAAAGGTTATATTCATATATTTGTTTTTTAAATGTGGGGGCAAACGAATGAAAACCTTTGTCAGCTGACGGAGGATATAAGTAGTAACTTTTCAGCGGCTAGCTTCATTTAAAGAACCGTAAATGTATTATAACAAATTTAAAAGAATAAAGATCCTCAGCTTGTGTGGTTTGGCATTGTTTCCACTGTGTGCACACAGTCTGAGGAGACAAAACAGGTCAAGTCTTGATCTGCACACAGAGCAGAGTCTCCAGTAATTGAGTGGAGACATTTTAATAATCCAAGTTATAAACATCAAGTACATCAGCTTACAGGACTCACAAACATATGGTAATTAACATTTACTGCACCGATATAATAAATTCAACCCCCCTCCTGAATACACACATGTACATGCACATTCACGTACACACACACACAGCCATTACCATATTGCATGAGAGGAATCATTTGCTTGATTGGACATAGCTTTTAAATACTGAAGAGGTCCAGGAACCCGGTGGAGGTCTTTTAATTTCCTCCATCATAATTAGTATCTGTGAATTATTCACAACATGTCTTCCAATGAAGCAGCAGAAGAGTCGACTTCAAGAACCACAGCGCTGCTAAAGCCCTGTTGTAATTTCCACAATACAGATTTAAGTTTCCTGCTCTGGCTTTATGGCAGTTCATCGCTGTCCTTCTCCCCTCAGCCAGTCTCCACTCAAAACAGCAAATCCTTACACTAAGAATGGCTTTTTTTTTCTTTTAATGCTTATTAACACACAGTGACACTCGATTTTTTATAGTTTTAGTCAACGTGTAACAAAGGTTCATGTTCATTGATTGTCTTTTTTTGGCTGCATTGGGAAAGTTGGTTTGACAATGGATCCCTTTTAGCTTGATATTTGGTCTCCACCAATCTAAAAAAACATATTTGCCCCCTAGGTAAGCTCATGAGTTTGATCATGCTAAAATGAAGGTGCTCTTATTTTGGTGAACAGTGACCTGAACGGCTCCTTTTGTCTCTCACAAACAGTAGCAGTAGTAGAGTGTGTTGGCTTGGCAGACATATAACCGCTGCTCACATACAGAGATAATCTGAGGTGTGTTTAACAGTTCTGAGGGTTTAGACACAGTCTGACATCAGGCTTTTAATTTAGTAAGTATTATCACCAAAGTTAAGCAAAAACTCGAGAAGTGACGAGTTGATGGATGGGTTTACCCTTTGTGATTTTAAAATGTGTTGGGTTCACATTATTATTAGTAGAAATTTTTATTTTTAATTTCTATTTTTTTTTATTTTTTGCTTTGTTTATTGTTATTATTGTTTTGAATATTCTTACTGGTTTTGTTTGTTTGTTTTCAGTTAACTTGCTTGTGTTGCACGCACATGTTCAAAAAAAATGAATAAATTAAAATATATATATTAAAGAGTTTGTGTGTTTTAAAGAGGTTTTAAGTTGTGTCAGCCCAAATCCTGCAAATTCAAGGACCAACAAAGGCAGCAAACTCATACATTTAGAAGCTACAACCAGCAAATACAGCAAGTTTCATCTCAAAAAGGGAGGACAATTAATCGGTTATGACTTAAATAAATCATTGACATGCTTTGCATTTAATTGACTAATGGACTTATTGTCTTATTGTAGTTCTATGTGCCGTTTTTAACTTAAAGTATCTGCCCCTCTGGGGATCTCTGCGCAGGCCTTTTTATCTTTGCATTAAAACATTGCAATTTAACTTCATCATCTGAGCAAGTTAACAACTTTGATTTATTCACAAGAGTTTCTTAACTTTGAAACGTCCTTATTCAAACCCTCTACTTTTTTATATACAAGCCAGACTGACCCCTAATTTCTAACAATCGCTGGTTCTACATAAATTCAAGTTGATAAATTTGCCAAATTTCTAAACTCTCCACAGAAAATCTTTTATGAAATAACCTTTAACATTTTGTAAAGTGCCCGTGATAAATATCATTCAAACAGGACCTTGCCTTTGTTTTGGTAAGTGTGTCTGTTCACTTTTAATAGTGCGAGCAGGCGGCACAACAGTTTCCTGTGTTTTAGAGCCACCAGTACAGGACCTTCTCCATCTACTCAGCTGCTATTATTCTGTCAAGAGCTGCTGTGTTTTCCCGAGAAAAGGAAGTTATTTCATTTCCACCTTTTGTCTGTTTCTGAATGCGAGCGTCGCTCTTTCAGCAATATTCACTTGTTTCAACTCCCCTCTCCATCCTAACCAAAATATACAACCCTTCTTTGCCCTATAACTCTCGTTGGTCACAGAAAAATAGGAATTTCCTCAATTGGTGTAATTCTCCACACCAGATTTCAGCAGTTTTTTCTCCTAGCTTCAGCAGATTTCTGTCTCTCCACCGTCTCCACAGACTGACGGATTGTGGAGTGATTGTAAAAAGAATTGGAGAAAAATAGAGAACAGACTATCTCTTAAATGTAACCATATAAACCATATAAAAAGCATTGTTTCCTGTATGAAAAGGTCAATCTCATGTCAAAATCATCTCTCAAGAATGCTTATGAAACAGAGATGGTTCCCAGATGATAAAAATACCTGTTGATTGTTATATTTGGTCGTAGTTGGCTTTTTGCTTCCCTGTCTTTCGTGAGACAAACAGAGGCTCAAACTTCAGCACAAGTTTGGGGGAACAGCTTCTTTTCAAACTTAAAAAACTATACAACCAAAGCAGTGTGGTCTGGACTTGAGGGGCTGGTGCAGAATTAAAGTATTATTAGTAGGATGAAACAGCAGGTAGAGTGTAGGCGGAATATTCATAGCCAATCATGTCAGCTCCCTTCATCTGCTGCAAAAGCTGTGTCCTGAAATGATGAACAATTTCCTTCAGGGTTGGAAGCAATGTCTAAGATAGAAACTATCTTTGATATAATGATGCAGAGTTACAAGGAACAACTGCAGTATGTATATCATGTAGTTATGAGTAACAAAGAGTATACTACCATGAGCGTGGGGAAGTTCCTTTAACAATAGTGGCAATTTCTTTTTTAGAGGAAAACAGCAAAGCTTTGGTGAGGGATTTTATGATTTGCTAAAATCTCCTAGTAAAATTTAAACAGTTCATCTGTGAGGTTGAATAATAACTGCATTTTGCTTACATATTCAGTCACACAGCAACTAGCAATAACCGAGTCAAGCTCACAGAGAGGTTCTAAAGGTCGCTGATTATGTACCGTATATACTCTGGCGTGATCTTTTAGCTGTTTCTTAGCCTCGGCATCCACAGCTCTAAGAGCGCTGATTGGCCCTTGAGGGATTATTTTGGAGAACCTTTGACCCCCCCTTGAAGGCCATCCTACTAAAACTAGGAATGTCTTGAACCAGGCCAGGGCAGATGATGTGAAACCTGTCTTTGAGGAGCAGAGACATGAGCTGGCAAGCTCTGCAGACTGAAATGATTCAGCTTCAAATTTGCACAAAGTGAGAGAATAAGCACACAGCACCAGAATGCCTTTCATTTGGTCTGGATCTGATCAGACAGGTGGCTCACAGGCAACACTTGCTATCACCAATTGTTATCTGCAAGTGAAGAGTACCTCCGAGTACACAACGTGTCTTCTCCCAGCAGCCTTATGCCAGCTATTTAACTGGCACAGAGCTGCATCTTGCACCAATTACCTGCAAACTAGCTGCTCATGCTCTACAGACTCACAGTCTAAAAGTCATGCTTGGCTTTCATATCTCATTTCTACTTTGATTGTTGCTTTATGAACTAAAGCTTCACCAACACACAAACACTTGAACTGAGACATCAGCCCCAAAAATAGACTAAGGCCCTTCAAAAACAGTGTGCTAAATATACTATCAAAATATCTCCTCTGCTTACCAGGTGGTATCTACAGCACCACCTCCATTTTTTTTGTTGGATTTTTGTTTTTTATAAAGTGATGTCATGTGAATTTGCGGTCCCTTAAGTCGGTGTCTTCCATGATGTTGTCTTGCCTGCAGTCAGCCACCCATTAAGCAACTCACCACAAGTATTCAGTTAACTTCTTTGATTTGGTTTTATCCACAACTGTGGTGACTTGCACACACCAAAATAGTGCTCTGCAGATTTTGGGGTTATGGCTACCCACTGGCATCAGTCTGACTGGCTGCAAGGACATAGCTTGTAGTCCGTAGCTCAAACTTGAAGTCCTTCTGGGATATCTAAATCCTGTTAGACACAAAGTACATTGACTTGAGCCATTAAATGAGCCGTTTCAGAGTTTCTTGAGGAGAAATGTGCCATTCGAAAGCACACTGTGGTTATTTTTCTCCATCATGTTGGCAGCAGTAGCACCAAGATGCCCCAGCTGCTTAGGATGACATGATTTTAACAAAAAAAAACAAAAAAAAAAAATCATCATTTTTGGACCTTAATCCCAGAATTTTAACAACTGACAGTATATAACTGAGATGTAACCAGGACAGGTAGTGAGTTTTTTTGTTTGAAAATTGGGCGCAAAGACCAACACCAGATGGTGTGTTCATCGAAATTGGTGTGAAAAGAGTTTATACAGATTTGTGCATTCAGCCATCTTTCTCATTGTATAATATCTCAAAATAACTAAAATGTTGGTTTGATATTCTAATTAATTCAAATTGAGCCAATCTACAAATACAATACCAAATAGTTATGCTAAACAGAGCCGCAGGAGGCTTTTGAGCAGTTACAGAAAAAAAGAGACTTTAAATCTTACCATCATTCTTCCTTTTCCATTTGTTTGATTGTTATCCTATCCTTTGACTGCATAAAATAGCAGCTAGCAGCAGATACCACACACAAGACATTACACTGAAGCTAAGACAGTTTTTAAACCGAAACAAGACCAAATGTTTTGAAAAATAGTGAGCAGTTTAGCAGTGAATAGGCAAACAGAAACATCCCGGTGGAAAACTAAAGCAATCGATATATGTTTTAGAGTCTTAAGGAAAACTTCAGCTCATTTTATAAACCAGCAGTGAATCATTGGCAAAACATTGCTTCAGAACAACTCAGAGCTCTCCGGTATGAACTGTAGCGCACGTTTTGGAAATCTATACAAGTGAACGCTGGCTGGGTGGTTTTTATTTTTCCCTGTTGATATCATTACTGATCATACTAAACATTTCTGTGTTTCCCTGTCTACACCACGGGCAAAAAATGTGAAATTTATTGTGCCAGTATCTCTGAACACTTACAGCTTATTCTGTCCCAGCGAAAGCTCCTTGTTTGCTGACAATATGTAAGATAAATCTGTTTTGTTATCATGTTGCTTTTTGCAGGAAGTGTGTAATGACAAGATGAATGTATTTGGATCAGAGGAAAGGAGAGGGATGTTTTTTCAATCCAACATAGGTTGGATGTCAGAGATAATAGAAAAGATTGGTGTATAGGTCTGAGTTTTGAAGCATACCTGTGTTAATCCTGCTCTAGATTGCTGTGCTGAGACTGCTTGTATTTACATATGCAGAGGATCCCGCTGTTTTGAGCACACCATTGACAAGACAGAGCAATTAATCATCCCCAAATACTCCCGCCGAGCAACAGACGACCCTCGCAGAACAAGCTGCCATGAAGGGTGTGCAGGTGTGAATCAAGCTGCAAGAGAAATATTCAGAGCCAGCCCTTTTCTGAGTCCTCTCTGTTTGTCAAGACCATCTCTATATTCAAGTAAAAGATGTGGATAATGTTTGCTCCTTCAATGTTGTTGTTTTTTTTTTCAAGAAAAAAAGAAATACACTTTCTAGCGCTAACCGAGTTTGAATTTCATAGAAACTAAATGCAAATAAGTGTAATGCTATCTGCTTCTTACAAGGTAATGTCAGGCCCCATAGAGACGGTATTCAAATGTTTATTAGAGGCCCCACTGTATTCCTCAGTGTCATTATTCTCCTCCAATGAATGATTGCTGGTTTGGTAGCCTGAACATAACTAACAAGTCCTGGACTTTTGCGTGTGCATCAGGCCTGGTGAAAAATGTGATCATTTGTGTTACTCAGATATGAGCGGAGGGAGGATTTGGCTCAGTAGCAGGTTTCAGCCGTCAAGCCCCTTGGGACAGTTACACCAAGAAGGCTCATTTTTGTGACCCATATCTGGCTTCCCATAACCAAAATAAAAGTCTTGTTATGTTATGAAATGTTGCCAGGAAGTCTTCAACTTTGACACAACTGGTAAAAATCACTGTCCACTTCTTGGAGTCCTTTAAGCGGAAACTGCTCTGACGAAGTATTTTCAATGTACTTCATCTGACCAGGGCAATAAAGAGCTTTCAAGGTTTATAAGATAATCAAAGGAGAAGGCCATGGTGAGCCTTCAAAGACATGTCTCAACTATCTTATAAAAGTCTCTCTTGCAGGTACATAAGTTCTATTGTCTGTTCAAATAATGAAGTTTTGCAAATGCTTTATGTAATTACACATTAGCATCTAAAAGAAAAATCAAGATCATCCAGAAAAAGTGAAGCAGTTTAAAGAATATCTGAAATAAATGCAATCTAAGACAGATCATCTGTAGTGTTTGTATATAATTTTGCTTGGTTTCTAAATAAGGAGGAGGTGCATATATTCTACTCCTCTCTACCCTTCACATCAATAAAATTCATTACCTGCCATCACTGCATACAGCGCTCTACACAGCACAACATCTATGACTCACAATACTCAGCTAAATGGTTTTACCGCTCCTAAATGTCAATGCAAGCAAACCAGATAGACGGTTGTCTCATTTTATATCAAGAGACACTGACTCCCAATTGTTTTCAAACCCCTGGAGCAAGGGAAGATTGTTGAATTTTGCTGAAAACCATCTGCTTGTTCTGAACAACAGGGGATAAGAAACATGCTGAGAAGTAAGCTCTCCTGATAGCTAGCATTGGCTTCTGATTCTCTTGCCTTTAACGTTCCTTCTGGCATCCCGTCTTTAGAGGAACCGCATCCACATGCCCCTGGGAGCTCAGACTTGTTGATGAGTTGATATATCTTTGTATTATTGTATATTGTTTGTATTTACATAAAAATCTAATCCGAATCAGCAGGTTCTGCAATCCCATTTCCCTCATTTTGAATAATAAATAAATGAAATTCTTGGAGGATTACTACAATCAGTTTCACTTTTGTAATTTGACTGTGTCCGGCACAGTTGACCCGAGTTGGGCGAGACAAATGACACTCCTCATTTTTAAACACTACCCTTACAGCCAAGGGCAATTTGAAGTACAGAAAATAACACCATTGGTTGTATGAACATCTGCTCCCTGGGTATTTGATTTCCCAGGCAGATGTTAGACCCCAGCTGCTATCACAAGATAATTTGTATGTTTGTGAAGAGAGCTCCCATTTGGCTGCTCTGTTGATAGTAATGTCTTCCTTTTGTGAATGAGCCAACATGATTGTTAAGGATGTTTTACAGGCTCTCACAACGTAATGCCCTTTGTGCCCCTGACTGTATGAATCAAGCTAAACATTTTTAGATATTTTAAAATATGAATTAATGTTCGAGTCTTTTTCTCATTTTCTATAAGGAGGTAATATTGCATGTATGTTTCTGTGAAATCAATTTCCATTCTAGCATGATTTTAGATGAAAAAATCAGATAAGCCTAAATATAAGCAGATAGCATGTTTGAGACATGTGGTCCCATTGTAAAGATTAAAGTGATGACATGAAATGAATCAATTCGTTGATGAGTGGACGATGAATATGTGAACATCGGATGAACTAATACAGGATAGTGTGTTGAATCGTTTAACTTGGCCTCCTAATTTCCCAGATCTCAGTCCAATCAAGCATCTGTTGGGTGTGCTGGACAACAAAGTCCAATCCATGGAGGTCCCACCGTGCAGCTTACAGATCTCACAGTCTCGGTGCATGATACTACAGCACACCTTCAGAGGTCTGGTTGAGTCCATGTCTTGTCGGATCAGGACTGCTTAACCTTGACCTTGTAATGGAGGGAATACTCACTATATTGGGAAGGTAGCCAGAGTTACAGCTGACCAGTGGCTAATGCTTTGTTGCTTATGTTGATCAGACTCAGCTTTACTTAATGCTATTGTGAGAAACTTCCAATTATCAATTTTGTCACCTCCTATGGCGAAGCTTTGCCTCTTATCTCTTTGTTGTTCCTCCTTTCCTCTACAGATGAAAGTAATTTTTCCTGCTGTCTCAACAATCAAACCAATCTCTCACTTTGAATCGTTTCTTTTGCTGTAAGCAAAGACATTTGAGCAGCATCTCCTTATCTGACACCTACCAGTAAGCAGTAATGACAGACATCAAAAATAACTGCATAGAAGCAGCCGTTCGTCTCTCCCATGATTTGGTTTGCTTTTGTAGGTCCAATACAGGCAAGAGTATTACTTTGAGGCCATTTCATGAGAAATAAAAAGTCTCTACAGGAGCTTAAAATTTTAAATTTTCTCCTTTTTTCTTCTTTTGTCACTGAGTGACCTTGTTTCAGCCATGAAAGCTGTGAAGACAAAGTGATACCCCAAGAGAAACCAGACTCAACAAGAAGTCCGGTCATGTTTAGAAACTGCTAAAGGTCTTAACTTAATGTACTAGAAGTGTAACATTATCTGCAGACATGTAGACTTCTGTCTGTGGACAGAGCAGAGGATATGCTCCAGTGAGATTTTAGGGCTTTTTCTCCATAAAATCAGACACTATCTGGATCAACTATGACAAAATTTATTCTCAAAAGTGAATTTAGATTCAACATCCAAATAATCTGATACAAACCTCTGACTTTCATACATACACTTTTTGACAAACCCTCTCATCTTTTGAAAAAAACATTACAGCAACATCACAATACTGCAGCATCAAAATCACCAGAAACATTCGATTGTGTCCTTCACAGTGGTTCTGTACTCTATCCTTAGACCAGTTCAGATGCAGGTAATGTCATCATCTGTGACATGTGAGAGAATAAGCAGTGTACGGAAAAGATAACTCAAAGGAGATTAGTCCCACTCCTGACCCAGGAAGAAAAATGTAGCATTATCTGCTGGAGAAGAAGTGTGTCAGAGTCTCACAGGTCTATGGTGACCCCACCACTCCCCACTTTGGTTGAAGGCTTTAAATTCTCCCCTCCCAAGTTCAGAGTCGATTTGTTATCAAATCAAGCGTCGAGCGTCTGATTCATTGCTATTCAGCACTGCGGCTGATTTATATGCAGAATGTAAAACAGATGCCTTATGTGATACATATTTATGGTGAGCCCTGCTCTGGCAAGATTTATTATAGGTTCTTTCATCGGGGTGTGCAGGAGCTGGGCTATGATGACTTGTATTTCCTCTCAGCTGCCAATGCCAAACTCATTAAAAAGAGGTGTGACTATTAATATACATTGTAATACTGACAGCCCCTAATTTATAACCCAAGTGCATGTTTGGGGTTTCTTCTATCCTTGCCTCTCATTGTTGGGGTGGGGGTAGTGATCTCTTTGTATCTTCATGTATGTGTGTGTGTGTACACACCGTCATGTCTTTGTTGACTTGCGTGGACATCAGTACTGCACATGTGCCGTATTTATGCAGACCCCATTTTTCATTTATTTAAAATGTCTACTTTGTTCTCTTTTTATATTGTCTATTGATTTAATAGACCTAGCCCCTTGACGCATATGTACTTCAGCCTTGAGCTGTTTAAAGATTAAAACATAACACAGAGAGTTTCAGCCCGCTGCCTTATGAGTCCCTGCTAATCAGAATGCTAACTAAGACAGCATGTCCATGTTAAGAGTTTTTTTAACTTACGGTTAAGTATATCTAAACCTCTCATTTAGCGCCTGCAAACAGAGCAACATGAGCTAGTACAGTCAAGCAGTTTTTATTAAGATTTTAAATTTAGTGTCAGATACGTTTAGAAACATACACCAAATATTCCCTCACCTTCTTGACACCGATTAGTTGGTCAATGAGCTCTCGTTCAACCAAAATCTCATTGGCTGGATAATTGCCACATGTGCTACTGTCATTGAAAAGAGAGCGCTTAAGAGGGTAGATGTGTATATTAGGGCTGAAACGATTACTCGAGTAACTCGAGTAACTCGATTAATAAAATTCCTCGAGGCAAATTATATGCCTCGAGGAATCGTTTAAATCCGGAACCATGTGCAGCGCACGGTGTTTGACACGGACGGTTATTTCTGTTGCGCAGCAGCGTGCTCTTTCCGCTCCCGCGCGTTTCATAGACATAATAAAAGGGTAGACCCCGCTGGGGGTGCTGCGCAGCGAGAAATGCGGCCGCCATCTTGGTCAGGTCAAGCTTCCCATACGCTCCGGTCAATCATATTCATTCATTCAGCGATGCCGGAGCACTGTGCGGCGTATTCCTGTGCCAACAGGCGGACAGCAGAGAACAGGGCTCAAGAAATAACTTTTCACAGTTATGATTAAACGTTTTTTAAACATTACACTTGACTGTAGAGTCATTTGTAGGCCAAAGAGGAAGACTATCGGTCAACTCCAAAAAGGAAACAGCATTTGCGAACAGCTAGCTTATTCACAATAATAGCAACTTTGGTCGATTATCAACAGATTTGCATTAGATTGAAAAACTTTTGTTTGAGAGAGGTTCTAAGAAACGTTAAGAAATAAAATAGAAAGAAAAAGGAAGAAAGTGAGCTCTGTTTTATTATCTGTTTTATTAAAGATTTCTTTGTGGTGATCTCCTGTTTCATTTTGAAGATTTCCTAAGGACAAAAACTTGAGGAAGAAGTGGGAGATTGCTGTTAGAGGGAGAAATTCGCAGCAAGTGATTCCTCTGTGCTGTGTAGCCAACAAGCAAATTGATATGTAGTTTAGATGCTGTCCTGTCATGCTGTTCTTGTGTTTAAATCTTTTTGATATGTAGGCTATATATTTGTGTGTATTTTCCAGTTATTAAAATAGTGCTTCCATATGACATTATTTGTGTGTGTCTACAAATGGATAAATAAAATTAAACTATATAAAAAATTATAATCAAATCAATATATATTGAATTGACCTATTAATACCGCCAGTTATTAATAATTATTGAGACATAGCAGGAACCTAGCTCTAAACCTAAATATATCCTTGATTAATTGTTATACTATAATACAGCCACTGCTGCCATGTTCTAAAATATCATTTTATTCATTCTGAGTATTTGAAAACGCCCCAAAAAAATACGGCCTCTATCATGCCTCTTTGAATGGCGTTTGCAGAGAAGAAAATTACGTAGTATTGAGCGAACTATGATTCATTAATGCGCTCAGACTTCATTCCGCCGGTTAAACAGCGGTGCAGAGTGAGGCGGATGACCGGACCAAGATGGCGGCCGCATTTCTCGACAGCGCCCATTCGTGGTAGCGGCCGATGCGGGGTCTATCTTTTATTATGTCTATGGCCCGTTTGGTTCAATCATGGAGGGAAACGAGGACAGACAGAGAGAGGAAGAAAGAGATGACACGCAGAGGAAACGGCAGAAAGTGTCTAAAGTGTGGGACCATTACACACTGAAAAGGAAAGAAAACGCCGTGCAGTGCGTTCACTGTAAGGCGGAGTTGGCGTTTCACAACAGCACGTCGTCAATGCTGCAGCACCTTAAAAGAAAACACCCGGTCCATGCATTAAGTCCGCTCTGAGGCAAACGTGATTCAATGCAAAGTATTACAGTGAGAGCAAAACATTTCTTATCCGATTACTCGATTAATCGACAGATTAATCGATAGAGTACTCGATTACTAAAATAATCGATAGCTGCAGCCCTAGTGTATATCACATGTAGCACTTTTTCTGAATCATTGGACTGATTATGAAACAGCATTGTACGGCATAATGCCATACTTAAAGTTAAAAATGACAATCTGACCAACTGCTGTCCTTTACAAGAGGTCTTCCTCATGAAAACACTCATCATAGATAATGGCGGCCTCATTTATAAGCCAAAAAAAAACGGTTATGATCAAAATTTCTGCAAATGACTGTTTTCTGCAACACAAACCAGTCTTCTGAAACTGTAAGGCTTTTTTGCAGAGCCCACCCAAAAAAGCGCTTTTTAACTGAACAAT